AGACTCTTGGCACTCTTAGGTGAGCAGACTTAGTCAGCCTGTGTTGCCCTAACAGTTCCCTCCTAATAAGCAGTCTTATCCCACTCCATGTTTTCATACCAGCCCCTCTCTGCCTTGTGTCCTATATGTCTTCCTGCCATCCAACATTCACTTCACTGCTCCTCTCTCATTGTCTTCTTGTTCTCACCAAAGCACACTGTTGCCACAGTTGTGAGATGCCTGGCAGCAACATCTTCTTCAGCTCCTACATACAATGTGCCTTCATGGTCCAAACAATGCTGACACCAGCATTCTCCTGACCAGCCTATACCATCATGGCAACCTGGCACTCTCCACATCCCTCTCACCTCCCCTTATGCTTGTCGACAACTCCTGCCCACTGTCTTGTCTCCCCTGCAACTGATGGATGACCCAGCTCTCAACTTTGACCTTGTAGAGGAGCCCTGGGAAGACATTATTGACCCTTGTAGCCCACCCCAACACTCTGCCCCAAGTTCTGCATATGAAAACAAACAATCTCTTACCTATGAGTGCTGGATCATGATTATGCTGGCACTCATCCAATCCCTTTTAGTTGCTGACTGTTTCCTGGGCGAGGAGGCTCACCTGGAATGTGATCATCAGCCTTTGGGCCAATTGTTCCCAGCCATGCCAGCAACATGCATGTCAACCTGTAGGGAGGCCCACAACATTTGGGTCCAGTGTGTAGGATTTCATGGTGCATCATCTTATCTGTGATCATGATCATGATTTCAATTAATCACTGCATGGTCTTAGGAATGTTCTTTCAGGACAGTTGATACTGCATTGCTCACCCCATTGCACCTTGCCTTGTCAGCACTGGTCTGTGGCCAAGCACACTGATTTGACCCAATCTTGCCTTTTCAATCGATCTTCTCAGCTTCTACCTCCAACTCTTCACAGACTGCACTGCACCAAACAAAGCCTTCTGTGAAACTCTGCATCAATACCATGCTGCAAGAGGTGTCTTCCACTGCAATGACAAAGTATGCTCAGCAATGTCACATAAACTCGAGCCCTACTTACTTACACTCACCAGGGTAGACCTATGGAGGACCCCTTCAGAAGATCATGGGCTGCTGCCACACAGTGGTATCAGTTTGTGTGACTCCAGGTGGTTGAAAAAGTTGAGTGTGTGCTGCACAAAGCTCCTCAGGTTGCAGTACAAAGCTCCTCGGGTTGCAGTACCTCAACTGGCCTCTCTGAGACTGTCTTCTTATGCTTGCAGACCAATGTCTGATCTGGTGGAGTCATCTGTGGACCCGCTAGATCCATGACTTTGGCTTGAGCAGGGCTGGGCAAGCATGTGGCTTAGGCAACTATGCCCAGTGTGCTTTGGCAGTGGGGAGTGGGGCAGTGATGCACACAAGTACGCCGCTAAACCCACATGCATGTGGGTTCATGTTCATGATTGTGATTGTTGACCATGTCTCAGATTTCCTGACATTCTTCTCCAACTTGATGGCAACTTTCACCATTGTAGGAACATGTCTGGCAGTAAAGGACCTGCATTCTACTCCCCAATGCTGTTCTTGGACAATGACTATGTCACTGGAGTTGGACTCAAGATGGAAGCAAAGTGAGCTGTTCCTTGGACACCTTGAGTACACATGTCCACCACCCTGGCTGACAAAGTTGTTATGGCTTGCAAGGATTCTTTCAAGGCCACACAGAAGAAGGAGAGTTCCAATACCCCAGGTTACCACAATGAGAAAGGTTTGGTGGCATGTTTGTGTGTGCACAACATCCCACTATTGATTTGCAACATTACCACTCCTGGTGAGTGGCAGATGTATGCCATTGCCCTCATTTGCCAACTAAGGGAAGAGTTGCCTTCCCACGCCACTCTTGGGGTGCTCTACAACATTGGCTGTGTTCTGAATCACAGCTGTGCCCTGGTAAGCCAACCTCACTCTCCAAACACCCTCACATTCATGATCATGAGCAGTATGGGTATCTAGGTCCTCTCTGGTCCTGTGTTGTCATGGCCATAAGCATACTACATTTCTACAGACACCAGTGGGCATATCAGCAGGCATACAGCCCTTGCCATCAGGCTGGTTTCAGCTTGGCCAATGGTGAGCAAATGTCTTTGGAGTCAGCACCATTGGTATATTCTGATTCTCAGGCATTCAGGGGTATGTCACAAACCCCTTTCTATTTAGCTGGATATGTGTACTTACTTATGTACATGTTAGGGCAACACAGGCTGACTAAGTCTGCTCACCTAAGAGTGCCAAGAGTCTAA